ATATATATATATACAGATTTTACACTTTTGAACAGTTTTATTTTATTCATAATAAATATAAACCAGAACCACCAAGAGGCACAATAATCGGTGGAGTATGAAGTGTAAAATGATGTCAGGGTTCAGGCTCCTGGGTTCAGTTTTACAGCCCATTACTAACAAAATACAAGGATAAAAGCTGAGTTGAAGGCCAGGTCTAAAGTTAGCCTCTGGGTTAATGAACTCTGAACAGATTTGGTCTCTGCCTCCGTGTAAAAAACACCCAGTAAAGTCAAAGATTTCCTGAAACACCTGACAGTTTGCTTTTATTTGATTCAGTGAATTTCAAAGTGTCTTTCGACATTTGTCAGCGGCTCCGCTCAGAGTTTTTGGTATAAACCTCAGCTACTAGGTCAATATTTATCAAACTGAGTCAAAGCCAGTTTTGTGTTAACTAAGATTGATACAGTTAATCATCTGTACACCCAGTGATTCATCTTATTATTTTTGTAAGTTTCATTAAATTTCATTCAGTGGTTCGCCTTTAATGTCTCTTTTAAATGGTGCCACTTTTTTAGGAACATGCATTTGTGGGATTAGCAGTAGAGCTGAGTATGTGCAAAGAAACCTACTTGGGCAAATAAATAAATTATAGTCACAGTAAATACAGTATCTAGCAAAACATACTTATAAAAACATGTTATGTGTACTTTGAAGTCCCCCTCCCAGGGGTTGACATGCATTGTTACAACAAAGAAATAATCTATTAAACAAATTTTCTTACTTTTGTGCTAAGTATATTTTCAGTGTATTCTCTGATACAAAATGTACTGTATGTCTGTTTATGTAATAAAGATAGTTTTTAAAAATATTTTGTAATTAAACAGTCTCCGCCAACAGTGCAATCTTATCTAAACCTAGGTTCTCATAAAAATCAAACAAAAACCTTCCATGTTAACTTAAATAAACACTTAAACAGGTTTAATGGCTAAAAACATGCTAAAATGCTAGTTGTGGCTACAGAAGCGGATGTTCAAATTGTTTGCGTGTATATGCAGTAGAATTATGTGCTATATTATTAGCTTTCGAATGGGTGGAGGATAAAAATATAACTAAAATAATAATTTGTAGTGATTCATTATCTGCATTGTTGAGTATTGAAAAAGGCCATACAAATAATCATCAAAATATCTGAAATTATAGCTGTTCATCATGTGAACAAAATAAAAAAGTAATATTATTCTGGACTCCTGCTTATGTAGGTATTTTTGGGTAATGAAGAACATAGGTTGGCTAAGGAGGCTATGAAAAGAGAAAAAAAATGATTTACCAATAAAATTGTCTAAATCTGAAGGCAAAAGTATAGTTTGGAAAGAAAGCAAGAAGATATGGAAAATTAGGAGGGATATTGAAATAAATGGAAGACATTATAGGATACAAAATACAGTTGATGTAGTAAGGATCAGAGGAATAAACAGGAGAGAGGAGTTAATTATAAATAGAATAAGAACCGGGCACAGTTTTGTAAATGGAAATCTTTTTAAGATGGGGAAACACTGGTTTATGTAGTTGGTGTGATACTGTAGAAACGGTGGAACATGTTTTTATTAGCTGTAGAAAATATGCAAATCAAAGAAGAAAACCAGTGGTTATTCCGTATGTTGCGGGTGTTTCGGAGAAACTGAGACGTTTATTTTCTAAACATGATGTCCCAG